TTTGTACACCTTGACCGACCTTTCGTGGTTGACCAAGGTGTTGAACAAGGTTGCTTCAGTGTAATGTATTTATAAAATAACTTCGTAATAGTGATTAATGTGCGTGAATTAAAGATATGTTTCGAGGCTTTGTGCGGAAAATGTGTCACTGGCCTTGCTCAAAAATGAGCATGAATTAACAAAGATGTTAGGTAGGGCATTTAGGAGAAGCAAATTTACTAAAAAAGTAAACATTGGATTTGAATTTTGTGAAATTCAATTTGATGGTGGTTGTTGACGTGTTAATAGAGCAATACATTAAAAACCTGGTGGAACATTTACGTCAAAGGCGTAGATAACTGTGTGTAAAAAAACGTATCTGCATTAAAACCCCAGTAAATACACAAATCAAAATCAAAATCGTTTAAGATCTCAGTTTGACCATTCACAGGTCCATGTACTTATTTTATTTTATTTTATTATTTTTTTTTTTTTTCATTTTGAATGTTGGTTGTGTTGGTAAAAAGAACAATACTCCGCCCTACTGTATTTAATTAAAAATCCTCATAAGTCGATAAAAGAGGTCATCTGATAAAAGAGGTCATCTGAACCAGTAGAATGCGTGTTCTTTCCCTTTATGGTGAAGATTGAATCTCCGCCACTGAATTATGAATAAGAAAGGTACGATTACCTAATGACTTTTTTTATATTAATTTTTAATATTAATTTATTCGACTCAAAATCGTGTTCATTTGGTAATATGCTAAAGAAAATTAATAGTGTTATCAATTACTACGATTGCATGCTTACAGTATGTTGTGTCACGTCTGCACTTGACAATGATAAACTGGAATGGTTGCAAAATGCAAATGGTCAGATATGTATTCTCTAGGCCCTGATCTATTAATGCTCGCCGGTTTTGAACTAGATATAAAATGATGCAGGTTGGTGAATATATGCCTTCAGAAATCTGGCTTAATCACAGCGCGTACTGAGCATTTGGCCGAAAGGTAATACCCTGCTTCTTGTGTGTTGTAGACCCCGGTTCGGACCCGGTTCGAACCCGGGTAACGTTGGGTTTAAATTTAAATCGTTTTGCTCCTCGCATGAGAATTAAGCGGGATAAGAGACAATGTATCTGTTACTGTGTCAGTTACTGGTGGTGCAATGTGGCTGCCGCTGGTCCTCGACCAAAATTTCCAATTTCAAAAATTTGGAATTGGACAAAAAATTGAACTTTAATCTTAAATCTATTTTACTACTTTACATATCCATTGTATAGTTATGTGGTAGAAAAACATCATCGAGTCTATGTAGACAGTAATTCGGTGCGTAAGTATTTTATATAGAAATCAATATTGGAATAGCAATAACCCAATGCAATAAAAGTATTGTCAGGATATGAGACGACGCATCTCGATTTATACGACCAGAATCTTCTGCTTAATTGATACGATTCTCGTTAAACTCTTTTTTTTTTTTTTATTATTATCTATTATTTTGCCTAAAAAACATAGATTGTTATAACATGCACAATCAATGAAAGCAAAGTAAACTAACAGTTAGCTTTTTTATGCTTATATCGATTAGATAGTTGTCAAATGGATAGGATGATGACACACTACGCCCGAAGGCCGTCGGCCGACGCGATTCTATGGAGAACACAACGCCATGACGCGCGCACAACCGATCTTATTTAATGACGATAAGTTTAGACTGCTGCCAAAGAACTTAAATAGCAGAAGAATGAGCTGTTCCGCGTATTTGTATTAAAATTGATGGCACATCCGCCCTCCTGCGAATGGGGTAAAATGTGTACATTTTACTAAGTGGAGAAAATACAGGAAACCAAGGCAATTACCTTGAGGAAACAAACGAACTTGAGCGGCGCCTGTATTATTGCTATATAGCGCCGCCGCGCGGACGGGATAAAATTGCTCTCCGTGTACCCACAATGGCTTTCGAACGGACGGTTCCACTATATTGGGAAGCTGCTCTATCTTCTGCTATTTATTATCTTTGCTGCCACCGACAGTCCCAGGGAACGTAGTTGGAGTCGTCGTTACGATCGCCGTACGACCGTCAAGCGACGCAGTGAGCCTGGCTTTAGCGGTACGAATGTAGAAGTGCATCTTAGTAATACAGACACTATTGTGGAATATGGAGAGCCAAATTATGATGTTCGCGCTGGGAACCTGCTGCTCTTATACACATCTAGATGTGTATAAGAGACAGGGATACGGGCATGCGCGGTTCAAAATACGATTGGCTTATTATTATAAGTAATACTGACATGTATCAATTCATCCTTGACAAGAAAAACTGTATTTTCCTAAATTGCAGTTCAAATATACAGAGTAATTCAAACGTTATATTTAATGTTTCAACATTTAGTATTATATTTAAAGCAAACAATGCCTGACTTGGGTTTTTTTTTTTTTTTTGTCTCTGTATTTCTCCTGAAAACATGTAGAAATAAAAATGTAATAATCTAATAAGTGACGTCACGTAAACTGGAGGTTATTAGTAATGGTAACACCAGCTACAGCACGTGGGGTGCCAATGGACCCTATGTTGTCCCACTCTCCAATAGTTGACTCAAACTTTTCCGCCGTACTTAAGTATTGCGTTCCATCGTGGCCCCCGACAACGTATAGACTCCCACCCGTTGAGATGACTCCGTGCCCACTGCGGCATTGGGTCATGGGAGCGATGTATGCCCACCTAGAAAATATAAAATAATGTAACAAATCAATGCACGAATAACCCATTAATGGTAATTTTATTATAAATGTATTGTTACAGTCTCATCGTCGTTGTCGTCGTCATCGTCATCATCATCACCACCACCGCCAAAAATATCATCTTCATCATCATCAAGCCTATATCATACTCATTATTATAATCATTGTCATCAAAATCATCGTCATCATCATTATCCTCATTACCATCGTCATCATTATCATCATCACAACAGTCACCATTATTGTCATACTATGGTCATCACCATTATCATCATTATTATTGTTTTGTGCTGTTTTCAGGGATCTATTAATAAACAAAGAAATATTAGAGAAAATTAAAGTAAGAAAGGGTTGTAATAATTGCTGTTACATTATCGTTGATAGGTCGACTATTAGGCCAACCAACAGGCATCCTATTAGTATTGAATAGTTATTAAAAGGTAAAAAGTTATAACACTGGTAGATACCTGTCCTCATCCGGATGGTACCTTTCCACAGTGCCAAGATTGGCCTGGCCATCATATCCACCAAGTGCATAGATTTTACCGCCAAGCACTGCAGCTGCCACACCACCGCGTCTGGACTGGAGACTACAAGCAGCTGTCCACTGCAGATAACATTATCAACTTTAAAAACCACTTATTGGTGAGCAGTATTTTCTTGTTTTATACATTTTAGATTAAAAGCCAATATAGGTTACGGTAGGCTACGTAATATAGTAATTATTCAAGCTCACCCTATCAATTCTTGGCTCATAAATCTCGACAACATCTAAGTACGCACTCCCATCACTTCCCCCGATTGCACATAAAGAGTTATCCGAGGACACTAGACCCAAGTGTCTACGTCGATGACCCATACTCGCTAGTCTTCCTGTTAACAATAATGTTAAATTAAAGTAGTAAAACATATCTGGATAGTCAAAATTATAATTATTGAAGCAATACTAGATTAATAAATGTACAAAAACATTATTAAATCGAAGCCATCACGAGGATAAAGTAATTAGGTAAACAAAATGTGCAATGGAGTAGTATAGTTAGACTAAGAGCGAGCGCTTCATGCCCCGGTCATTGAATCAAGCACATAAGGAATATATACCCAGCTGCCTGGTGAGAATTTCTTAATGTTGTAGCTATGATCAGTGCAAAATATACATAAATAAGCATTGAACTCTAAGGTTAAAATAAACAAGTTTACATGATTTGGATAGAATATTGCATGGGATAAATAATTAATAATGTTGAGTGTCAATACCTACTCCATCTATTCGTTCTTGGGTCATAACACTCAACAGTGTCCAGCACTGACCTTCCATTGTATCCGCCAACTACGTACACTTGTCTGTCCAAGGTGCAAACCGAATGATAGCGTCTGACTTGATGCATCGGTACCATTGGGCACCAGCGTCTTTGAACGGTGTCGAACCATTCTACTGATGATAAGTACCTTCCTCCATCATAACCACCTAAGAACACAAATAATTGAACTTATTACAAGACTAAGTTAGAGAGGAGAGGAGCTTACTCAGTTGGCTAATCTGGTGGTAGCCACTGTGTGTGCGCTAAACCGTGGAGATCTCTAGGCCCCCGGTTCAATTCCCATCGCTGTCTCTCGTGTTTCAGCTGGAGGGCTGAAATACAAGTTACATAGCGCACCGTCTTTCGGATGAGACGTTTAAGCCGTTGGTCCCGTGTGCATTTATGGCCCATGTGCACGTTAAAGAATGCAGTACACTCTTCGGAAAAGAGTAGGGGATTGTCTCCCGGTGTACTGCCCAATCACCACCAGAAGGAACCCACTGAAAATAAGTCTCCTAGACTTTCGTGGGCTATCATTGGTGATTATACCGAATAAATCCAGTCGTAGCAGAAACACTATACGCACAGAATATAGCCTGGTTTCATTAAAATCGCTTCAGTGTAAAGGCGTTGTATTGTGAAGCAGTCCATGACCGAATCGAGAAGGCTCTTGATTCCACCGACCAATCAGCATCACCGAAAGTTGTGTAGGCGATAGCGTGCAGTAGCGATTGTATGGAAACTAATCTTAAAGTTTAAAAATCGCTACACGCCATCGCCGACTCATTTAGCGACGCTGATTGGTCAGTTTAATCCTGCACTATCATGTATGATTATGTCACCTCTAGATGGCCGGAAATGGCACTCTCAGACTTAAAATTGCAATATAATTTTTTTTTTATCTCCATTTTTTTTTTATTTAAAAAAAAAAAAACTCAGCCACTGGCATAGAACTCGTGTTTTACTGTGATTTCAAAGGATTTTGTAGTAAAAAATCTTTAAATAATTTATTATGTAAAAAGTTTTTTTCAATAGGCATCTACTTTGATTGTAATTTTTGTGATTTTACGCCATACAATAGCTTATAATAGTTTAAAGTTGAGTACCATTAAGGGTTCTTTACATTACTTACCTATAGCCATTATTTTATGGTCAATATTTGTAATAGCCACACCACTGCGGGGAGTGTTCATGCTTGCTTCAATGCTGACCCTCTGTGACCTTAAGTTATAGCATTCAACACTGGAAAGTGAGTGCCCGCTACTATCCATACCCCCAACACTGTATATACAACCTAAATTGAATAAAAAGAAAAAGGATAATTTTTTATTAATTTTATTACTTTATCAATTTAGTTTTCATTTTTATAGGCCTATGCCATTTTTTTTTCTATATTCAAATTAAATTCAAATTAAATGTTCGTAGTAATGAAGCACTGTATTACTTAAAGTTAACACGGTCGTGCGGCATTGATTTGAGTGCATGCAGAGGAACCGAGTCAATCTCATTGGATAAGACCCGCCCCTTGGATATTGTTGCTAAGAACCCATAAATGGAAACCATACGCAAACTCGTGTACATGTGAGACGACACGTTTGTTTGTGAGACACGCGCGTATTTCTGGCACAGTTCTGATTGGTCAGTTGTTAAGTTGATTGACACCCCAAAAAGGTTCATTACGTCGTCCTTCGGATAAGACGTTAAGCTATTGGTACGGTATAATTAATAGAAACAGATGTTGTTTTCGTTGGCGTCAGTTGTTGTCCATGGGGAGGGGATTTTAGACTTTAGTCTGGGGATGTAGCTAATATTTCGGAATCTTAATGAAATTGGCAAACTTGATACCTTAATAAAAGCAGAGGTGGGGCAGGAAACAGGCTCACTTTTGATTCGCCGCTGCTGGGCTTAATAATACGTTATCTGTAGCATTGTGAATTTATATAATTTGAAAGTCATTTCCTAGCAACTCCACCAAACAAATTGAATGTGAATCAGAAATTAACTCATTTGTTCTGTATGGTTTCAGGGTACAAACAATGCTGTAGCTTTGATCAAAGAGTATAAATAGAACAAGAGAGCAAAGTCCCGTTCGTAAAAACGTCATGCCTGTGTAGGACGCCAACTAACGGTTGTATATTCTTTTTATTACCCAGTGCAGCGCTGCGCAGCGCGGTAGAAGTACGCCCGCTATAAACTCAGTAAGCAGAAAACAAAAGCACAGTATCTTGTGGAGAACAGATAAACAGACAAACCTTCAGCTGTCTCTTATACACATCTAGATGTGTATAAGAGACAGGTGCAGTACTGGGTAATAAAACATATACAAGCGTTAGTTGGCGTCCTACACTAGCTGCGTAGAGCGTATCGTTTTTTTACGCTCCCAATGAGCGTTGTTGGCTCTCTTGTTCTATTTATACTCTTTGCTTGGATTTTCAAAAAGTGCTGGAAAATATCAGTGTGGATCCATTTAATTTTACACTTTAATATTCAAACAATGTCGACCCATTTCTTTAAAATTTGACCCATTTTACGCATTAAATATTATAAATCTGTAACCATTTTTCAAAAAGTGGACTAATTTCGTGCATAAAACAACATGATTTAGAACCATTTTTTAAAAAAATGGGGACCAATTCTTTGTATAAATAGTGTTGACCCAATAGAAAAATTGGGCTTGACTGTCCCAACTGTCCCAATAACTGGCTACGACATTGGGTACAATAATAGGCACGAAGAACACATAAGACTATATAAAGCAGATCTAGACGACCCTGATTAAAATACCAGAGAAAGGGTTGTCTCTTGATCACTCCTGAATCGTCATCACTAAATAATATCCAATGGCCATCCGACATAATATAAACCATAGACATTAAGAGAGACAGACTGGATTGCAACATAGTTTTTTGCTTTTGTTTTTCTTTTTTCTCTCTCTCTCTCGAAGGAGAATAATGTCGATAATTATATACATTGGTTAACAAGGCTGAAGGGGACATATGATTCAAAAACAGAAGTGAATTAGATCATTGACAGGCAGGAAGGCATGTGCATGGGTGTGGGAAGAAAAATTTCAGTGTTGTTACTGCTTAGGCTTAAGTACGTACAACGAAAGAGAAAGTACACAGATACTTTTTTTGTGAAATATTTCCAAAACATTCGCTGAAATTCACAGATGGCCAAAAAATTCCCAACAAAATCATTCTATTTTGAAAACATTCATAAAATCGAATTTTACATAATTAATGAACAGGAAAATGTGATGGGTTAGCCTCAGACACATAGTCACTAAATAGCGGTTAGACTAATGAGAATAACTAACCCAACTTCCGTCATATCCGGTTTAAGTGACAGCAACCAAATTGAACAAAAATTAGAGCCGTAGCAAGTAAACAGGAGAGAAAACCACATGCTTCATTACAGCAAATAAAAGTTTTAAAGCGTAGATATTGAAACGAAATTCAGTAGTAAACATCAAGTGTAATGAAATAGAAATTAGCTAAGAAATCAAATGTTACAAGTACAGTACCTATTACGGTAATCAGAAAATTATATATTTTTTTAAATTTTAATTTTTATAATTTCGGGTTTTTTCAATTAGACGCTCAACTTATATTTTTGGTGAATTGTAATGTTGTTCTATATTTGGTGTTTGATATATTTAAAATCGTTTTGTTTTCATAAAAGATACAATAAAATACTTATTTTTTATTTCTTTTACAGTTAATACTTACAGTTTGTAAATCTTATAAGTACGGGTGCCTATAGGCACATTAGCCTTTGTTTTGTGTACTTATCTTTAATCAAGAAATTTAATTTTTTACTCTTAAAGCGGGCACATTGCATCGGTGGTTGTAGCCTTTGCGAATGAGCATCAATCTTTTGGGGAAAAATTGATAGGGCCTATGAAGAAAAAAGGTAAAATTTATAATTTGGCTTCCGGCCAGTTGCCAACCGGGCCCGTTGCCACCCGGCCTTTTGCCACCCGGCCCGTTGCCACCCAGCACGTTGCCATTCGGCCTTTTAGCCTACCTATCGTAGAAGTTCTTGGTTTAATGCACGCTAATCGATGATGTTTCCTACGATCTGGGAACATATGGTAGTTTTTGGCTTCATCAAGGATGTCCCGGCATTTCCAGTCGTAGCGGATGAGCTCTTCCATCTCAAGTGTGTCAACTAGGAATTCTGCTGAGAGGAATGTAAATCTGACTTCTTTCAGTAGCTTTGGTAGCGAATGCATACGCTTCTGTTTGTCTGCATATACCCACTTCATTATTGCTTTATACACTTCTTCCTCGCTTGAAACATGTAAGTTTTCAGAGGTCAAGAGATCAATTAGCTGGTTCTCTGGTAGCTGCAAAAACTCGTCTCCTTTGGCAACTTTTTCAAAATGCTTCTCTGCAAAGCGCTCGGACGCTTCCACAAGATCAACGCATGTATGTGCGTCTGCAAGATTTCGAATACCTTAAAGACGAAAAATTATAATCTTAAACTTTTACTAACTTCGAAATATAGTATTAAAGTAATAACTAACAAGCAATGCAAAGTTCTAAATCAATATACATTACTGTAATTAAATTATCTGTACAAGATTTCAGACAAACCCTGTGTTATGTAGCAATGCTTGGGGACTTTAGTGCGCTTGACTTGAGAATTGTTTTCAAAATGTTGAGCTTTCACTATCTCTTGGTGATTTTTCGAAATTATTTGAAATAAAGGGATCAAATTAATTAACATTTCTATTGGATTTTACTTGTACAGGAACTTACAGTATGTTATACAGTAAACTTACTATGTATCTAATTCCAAAATTGTGAGATTTAAAATAAAACAGTATTTAACATGTATTGAGTTTTATCTTTAAATAGTTTTTTGTTTTATTTATTTATTTTTTCACAGTAAGCGGTATTAGACTTCAATGCTGCTTTGTGGTTACAATATTGGAATTTTGACACTAAAAGGTTTCCCTCTAATTAAAGACCCCTCTAATTAAAAACCCCTCCAATTAAAAACCACCTCCAATTAAAGACCACTTTCCTGTGGTTCCCAAATTTACAAATTCTTTTATCTTTATTATTCTAATTAGAGACGAAAGTTGCTAAAGACCATGGAAACCCCAGTCCCAAAAGTGGTCTTTAATTGGAGGGAGACCTGTAATTTTTTTTTATTTGCAGAAAATAAATAATAATATATTATCGTATATAAGTTTAGAAAGAAGTGTGCACTCAATACCTAAACAGTTGTTGGGATGTAAATTCCTCTTGAGGAAGTCTGAGCAGGCGGCCTGTACATCGTCTACTTGTAAAAGAGATGACAAGTTTAACAGGGATTGTACCGAGTTTACGTGGATCTTCAATATACCTAAAAGGACAATTAATACTAAACGTTAGATAAGGCCTAGCATACGAATTTACTAGGCCAAGTTAAAAAAAAAAAAGTAGTTTTTCATCGTAATATTTTGAAAAGAAAAGGAGAATAGGGGCACTTTTTTGTACGCCAAGATGACAAATCCGAATTGGTCGGTGGGAAACAGCTATTACAATTGATGAGACTGGGAAAGGGATGAGCGAGGGGACGAGAAACTAGTATTTTTTTTATTTGGCCTTACAGGGACGATTTATAGTGCAATATCAACAGAAAAAAAAATGTATTTATCTGCTAAAACATAATTCAACTAAGCATGGTATCATCCTTGAAAGAGAAATCGCAGGTGAATATATAAGATACCAACCATGGTGAGGGTGGGGTGCCAGGATTATCATCTGTAAAATCGCCTTTCTGGTACCCCTCTATTTTGAATTCCTGGATCTTCTAATGAGCTTCCAAAATAAAGTGATACGGGGTGATTTTAACTAGTTTTAGTGTATTCTGTTTGCTCAGCAGCATTTCACTGGGGCGCCTTGAAATAGGATGGCGGACGTGGCGGTGGCCTGTTTTGCCCTTCTATAGGCCTTCACGCCACTGAACTGCGTGAACTTGCTGCTCAGTATGCCTTTGCATTCTAACGGTTTACATTGACCAGAAGAGGGCTTGAAATGTAGGCCTTATAAGAAATTTATGCTCAAATAGCGACCTATTATATAGCTCATATATTACCTCAGATTCTCATTAATTAATTAATTAACGTAATTGAAACATTTCCTAAACCGTATTTAAATGTCTAACCTATCGTTGTTAATGATCAGAAGATGTGTGACTCAAAAATTTACTTCATCAAATGATGTTGAATCAAAACAAACCAAAATGCAATCAATTAACAACCCCGTTTATTTGATAGGTTTAATTACTTGTATTGCTGAGTGATTGTAGATTTGTACAACACATCGAACTTGCTATTGGTTTGAAATATGTTATCTTTATTTAGAAATTAATGATAAGCAAGGTCAAACGAATAATGATTTGAGCAATCAAAACTATAATTACTTCCTTTTGAAAAATTATCAGTTTGTTTGTCATTTTAAATATTGAAACACTACGCCTTTCAAATGGCCACACACGCATGCGTAGCAGATACAAGCAAAACTCTATCACGCTCAATCCAAGTGGATATTATTCGTGAGCTTATTGTTTTACACCAATCAAATCAAATCAACCTAACCTTTAAGTGTTGTGCTCGTTTGCAAGTGTGTAAATGTTCAATGGATACCACCTTTGTTTCATGTTCTGTATTCATTAGTAATTAAATTAGTCAAACCAGGCATAAGTAGGCCTATAATGATAATAATATACTTGTCTAAATAAATTAATGTAGACAAATATAATAAATGTAGACAGACACTGTTTCCGAAGTATGCTATGCATTGAACATTTAAAATTTAGTGGCAAAACGGGATGGGGGGGGGGAAGGGGGAACGTTCTCACACCCCGGTTTTCCCTAGTTGATCCGCGCCTGATAGTGGATTTTTTAATAACAAAGGAAACAGATAGGTCTTATATTGTAATCTCAGTCAATTAACAAAATGAAAGTTTTGATCCCCAATGACCAAGAAATTCAACAGTGCCTTCAACATAGTAATATCGCTCGCGCCTCCGAGTACTACAGGATGTCGGCGTTATCTCTTTCAACCTGGTTATCGTTAAAACGAGTCGTAAAATGCTGCATTATGTGATCACTAGAAAATGTAATCAGAAAATTCACTTCCTGTAGATGAAAATGCCATTTCTTTCACATTTTCTGTCTGTCAACGTAAAGATTTATCACAGAAACTACAGATTGTCATAATGTTGAATATCTTAGAATATTTATTGCAATACTGACATTTATAGTAGGCCTATAAACTGTCGGCTTTTGACAAGAAATTGTCAATGATCTTTATATATAAAATTGGAATGTAACCAGGCTAATGTAAAAATGTATTTTTAAAAAAATATTGTAAAAGTTAATATTTTATGCTTTAATTTATTTAGATCTCATGCATGCAGAGCGAAAGTGGATTGATGATTGATGTATTAAAATATTAAAATGTGTTAAATTTCACTGTTCCATGGTAATACTAAATTAATAATATTTTTATTGTATTGTTTAATGTTATGTATTACCAGAATTACCAGAATTTGTGTATATTTCAGACAATAAAATTAATAATAGATGGATTTATATAGCGCAAATAAACGAGGTCTTTATGCGCTCGGGACTAGATGTTGCACTTTTCAATAACTTTCTCCTCCCCTGAGGGTCACTTCATGTCCTCTGCAGCCAGTAAACCGACGCACTTTCATCTGTCCACGACAGGGGCCGAGTGTATGTAATTGAATAAATATATTCATCACATAGGAATAATAATATGCCTCATAATGGGCCCTGGCAATGATAATGGTAGTGATGATGATGATGATAATAATAATAATAATAATAATAATAATAATAATAATTATTATTATTATTATTATTATTATTATTATTATTATTATTATTATTATTGATAATATTTAATAGATAAAACGAAGATGAAATCAGTAAACAAGTACACATGCTTATAATAAAGAGTGACTACAAAATATGAATACGAAAATGAATAAAACAACAAAAAAACAACTATTTTTGCAGCAACACAGCAAGCTTTCATCTATCAATTATAACGTGTTTATTTTTAAAGTTAAAAGGAAATTGAGAGGGTCAATTGAATGTTGTAACTTAATTCAACCAGGGTTGCAACTTCCTGCTTACTGTCCAAAATCGTTCCGATTCTGTCGAATTAAAAATTAGTCTTGTTTCAGTTTATTTGTTTTCACAAGTGTTTAATTTTCTTTTTTGTTTCGTTATTATGCAATTAATAAAAATTGCTTTGAGGTATATTTTTATTTTATTTATAGGACACGATAGCAGTAACTGTTGAATGCCCATAAGGTCTTGATGTGATGTCACATGTTTTTGTTAAATAAAATTTGATAGTCTGGGGAGTCTGGTTCGCGAAAAATAATTGGGGGACCCCTGCTGCGGATCCTTTGACTTGGCGGACTAATGTTGGGGTCCGCTAGATTTTTAGACCAATTTCTCATGATTCAATTATTGTTCTTGTCTTTAGCAGTGTGTGATAAACATCTTACTGCTAATCATGCCTTGTCAATAATGAAATACCTTTTACATAGGAATGACTTCGTTCACTGTAAATTGTTTTAACTGGCATTTTTTTTATTTCAATATTTTATTGGTGATCTGATAGAATCTTTTGTATTTGTTTTGTAAAGAGTTAGTATAAAAGAGGCACTTGATAGTGGCAATCCTGAGGTAATCAGATTTAACAAATACCTTGAGGGTGATATAGAGATAATGCTTGTGTTATATATTGTGAGTTTCATTATAAGTGAACATTACAGACGAAACAGAAGAGGTTAAACAAGGACAGACAGTGAACGAAGACAAAACACTTACAGCTACAACGGCGGCGGAAGCGGGTACCAGGGGGCCATTGACCCCCCACCTTTTCGACTGGGGGATGCCTGCCCCCGCCCCTTTTGTGACTGTTCCCAGCACCAGGGACAAACAGTATTATTTGCGTCTTATAAATCGACCTCTTATTATTGTACAATATAGATTTTATTTTTTCATTTTCAAACGAATAGTACAAGTTCCCTTTTTGAGTTGAGCAACCAGATGTTCATTGACGTCTGTATTTACGTACGTCTGTAAAGTTTTCTTGAAACTTACTCTCGAGCATGACGAAAAAAGAATGGAATCGCCCGCCTTGCACGAATTCTGCAGTTATGCAGGGTGAGGTAGGCACCCTTTATGGAGCGACGCTCTAGTTCTCTTTATGTTAACCATGAAGAAATAAGTGTAACTGATTAGCTTGCGTAATAGAGCCACACTTAAATTCCATCTAATTTAACGAAAACAATAAGATACTTAATTAGGCCATTTATTAAAATAAAGTCTCTGAAGGTTAACTACATAATTAAATAGTATACTGTAGTTAATGTGTTTTAGCTTGTAAAAACTGTATTGAATAAAAAAAAATCTTTTGAAGCTATAAGATTTCTCCATCTGACACATTTAGTGTACACCCTGTCATGTCAAGTGTTATAATTGGCGGAAGAGGGGAGCCCTGTAAGCACGGGCATGCAACCTCCTATTTTCAAAATTACAAAATAACATGCAGAAAACAAACAAAATTGTATTCAACTTTAAATCTGAAAGTGCCATTTTCAGCCATCTAGAGGTGCCATAATCATATTTTTTTTCTTACCGCAGCCACTACCGTTTGTGGGGCTGAGGTGGGTAGACACTCCATTTGCGTCTATTTCGATTCCTGGACCCGCCACAGTTGTATTATCATTTCCGGGCTACTATAGAAGGGTAATTTGTATCCATCTGGGGAAAAGTGAAGGTTTCGTCGGGGAATACCCATATCAGCCCTCATGATAATTAATTCATTGACATCGTTTGTTCGGAAATCAGTAGCGGATTCAAGGGTGGGGGCCTAAATTGTTCAATTAGGCCTATTTTTTTTTTTTTTTTTTTTTTATTGAAAATTCTATTCAAATTTTAAGTCTGAGAGTGCATTTTCCGGCCATCTAGAGGTGCCATTATCACAAATTTTCTCGCCTCAACCCTAACCATGGTGGGGCTGAGGAGGTATAGATCTTACATCAGCGAAAGTACGGTACCCAGTGGCTGATTCAAGTCGTAAAGTGCTGCATTATGTGATCACTAGAAAATATAATCAGAAAATTCACTTCCTGTAGATGAAAATGCCATTTCTTTCACATTTTCTGTCTTTCAACGTAAAGATTTATGACAGAAACTACAGATTGTCATAATGTTGAATATCTTAGAATATTTATTGCAATACTGACATTTATAGTAGGCCTATAAACTGTCAGCTTTTGACAAGATATTGTCAATGATCTTTATATAAAATGTAAAAAAAAATAATAAAAAAAAATATTGTAAATGTTAATGTTATACTTTAATTTCAATGGCTGATTCAATGGGGCCCGGGCTCCCTTAATTTTTTATGTTTTTTAAAAGGAGATATAAAGAAAATTATGTTCAATTGTTATGCCTGTAAGTGTAATTTCGGGCCAACTAGAGGTGCCATAATTACAACGTGTTTCCCCCATTTTAACACTAAATGTTTAAAATTCTGCATATCACTTATGTGTTACTCACTTATCTATTCTGAAACCGTCCCCTCTCCCCCCAATTTGAAACATTCTGGGGTCTGCCCCTGAATATGAGCCTAATGCTAACTGAGCACTCTGAGAGTGTACCTATTTCCATAACATAATTCCTACGCATCTTTCCATGATGATGATAACGATGGCAACAACGACGAACGATGATGGTAAAGATTATGAGGACGATAATAATCATGATGGTTGATGATCATGTGGTTATGATGACGAGGAAGATGAATATTGATTGTATCCATGACAACGATGATGAGTAGTAATACATTTTTTTTATGAAAATGATTTACAAAAACTCACCAATTTATATGAAGATATAATGAAATATATAAAAAAAATATGAAACGAATATGTAATTTGACACACGTACCTGTATATGCATATTTAATTAACAGTTCTAATGCGGCTGCATCAATATCGTTCATTCGCACAACACTCTGGTGCGCTTCTTTCATATCTCCTGTAAACATGGCGAAGAAATACGGACTAAAAGCTGCTAAAACAAGTTTGTGGGCCAATATTTTGGCCCCCTCGACATTCAGCTGAATGTCACAAAGTTTATTGATATATCTTAATTGATACATCTGCGCTAACAGTCGACTCCCGTGATGCTCTTGTGCCCGATGAATGACGTAATCGGCAAGACATGGTTGAGTTTCGTCAAAATCCATCATCATCTTAAGGGTGAATTTGCCACAGTATTTCATTGGTATGTGCAAATGCTACTCTAGCTAATTGAAGCGAAAAAACACATAATTATTTATAGATAAAACATAATACACAAACTTGATTTCGACTGTAACAAACTTTTAAGGATTTTTTTTTTATTTTATTTTTTTTATGAGAAACCATTAAAATTTGCCTAGGGCCTAATTATAAATCCTCGAATCGAAGCCCCGGACCCCATGAACTATTTTTCGAATCTGCCAGTCTCACCTCATACTATAATAATAATATGATTAATTAAGCCTACTTTATTTGCCACAAGCTTAATTAATCATAATACTACTGTTCTGACATAATTAAGTTGTTTAAAAAAAAAATTTGCCCCTAGTATAATTTTGTTAGCCAAATTACTTGCCTCATAATGTTCCTGACTAATTTTATGATCTCAATCCTTGGAGAGGAGAGATTAGCGAATGCAACGAATGTAGATTCTAGGTTTGGGTAAAAATTTAGCTTTTGAGTCTTCGGAATTGTAGCTACGTTTGGTGTATCTCGAGTTGAGTACTTTGTAGGAGTATTTTTCACTTTTTTTAAAGTCGGGCAGTCTCGCGACCCTCAGAAATGTTTTGGCGACCCAAATTTAGGTCATGACCTAATTTGAAAAGCAGGGTACTAGAGAGATGCTCTATTATACATTTAATACAGTAAGTGTACAATAACGTTGTAATTCAGGAAAAAATGATTAAAAAACTAACATGGCGAAAAAACACTATGAAATTTACTTACCTTAGAATACGTTCGGGTGTTAGGCCTACATGCCTTAATATTTGACACCAAATGAATGACCGTCAGAATAAAGTTTACTGTTTCAGATGCATCAGGAAAGTTTGTCTGTTTTGTGCTACTACTTCAGTACTCTTGATGTCTGACCTTCCGTTTGTGGCCAATGAGTGAATGACCTATGACGTTCATTCTACTAATCCTTCCTTTGGGTTCCTAAAAGTAAAATTGTAAAGTTGGGTGGTGTACGTATATGACGTCATAGGTAATAAAGAAATCAAAGCAAATCACAGACTGAGAAATATGGGAACATTATAAATTTATTTAGATATATTTTCGTTTTTAACTTATGAGACATCTTTGGCAAACGGAAACAATCCATGCCATTCAATTATTCATTAGCAAGACATTTACATTTTTGTAGGCCGGGTATCTCCCATTTTAACTTTTCATTTCAAAATATTGCAATTTTGAATTTTGTCACTAAATACTTCATCCGATAACGATGATTACTGAAATTAATTATTACCTAAGGTATGTTACCAAACTGTATTAAGAGACTATCCATTCTATCTACCATGCGGGTTTTATTCATGGTTCCTACTTGGAATTATAGAGGGCGTAAACATAGAAAACCGTCAATCACTGCACCAGACACCAACCACATCAAAGGTTAGGAAGAGAAGAAGGTGGCAAGGATTGGTCACCAACAGAATTTTCGATATGTCTGCTTATTGTGGAGCAAAAGTCCATCTGACAACAAGTGACGGCTTGTATGCGGGAATAGTACACACTGTTGATCCAGTCCAGAAGAAGATATCGTTAAAGAAAGGTTAAAAAAACTAGACATTTTATTAAGATTATTAGGCTAGGCCAAAGGGGAGAGTGTTCAGTCTCCTCTGTCCCCCGAGCGAGTCCTGCCATCCCTGCCACGCTGGGAGACCTAAATGGTCATACGCATATAGACTAGGCCTAGGGCCTAGAGGCCCTTAGCCTAGGCCCTAGACAAATTTACCTTGATCAACTAAAGTAACTCTGTGTCTTTAAGGCTAGGTAAGGAGTTGTATAGCGACATTTTGTACGACTATATTAAATAGATAGGCCTACTCATACTGCTGAAGTGGGAAATTCCATCATTGCTCTCTCGAGTCTCAGCACTGTTGTTGATATTTGAACAAGTGTTTTGCTGAACCCGAAAATGCAAAACTGTCATCAGTGAAAACTACTTTTTTGGATCTGTTTCTCGTTGGAAGCTGATCGTTTATTTGAGCCTTTCAAACGAGCTATTCAAAATTTTATTTGAATTTTTGATGTATTTTCCTGTTTTTTGAATGATTTGTATTTTGAAACGTTTTATTCAAAGAATGAATATCATGCTCAATCGAGACCACAGAGACACATGTCAACCAATGACATTGATTTAAGCCAACATCTGTGCTAATAAGTTTTCAATACAGAACATGTAAACTCTGTTCTATTGCCAAATCTAACCCTGAACTGATGTCTATTGTTAGGACAGGATTACTGTAGTAGATGTTCACCCATGGGGCTGTACTGTACGTCTACAACACCTTTAACAACAAAGCAACCTGTTTCTTATTTAAATGATAGCACATCTGAAAATTAATAACAATCAAAATACATTGGTTCAAGAACAGTTTTTCAAATAGTATGTTTATCTTCAATTGATGTACTGTCCTCACAGCTTCCCATTCTCCACCCTGCCACCCTTGGCCCTACAGAAAGATATCTCCAGAATTTCCCCTTGCTTTGGTGTTGTTATAGCAGTTTTCTGAGTTTTGCATTTTCAAGTGATTGAAATTTTTTCATCATTTCTCTGCTTCATTATTTCTCAGCCTGTTACTGAAGACACCTGGTCAGTTGAAGTATGCAAATAAATCGACTGTGGCAAAAAGTCTGTTATAGAAAAAAATTATCATTAGATTTAACCAACAAATATTATTTTTCTTCTACAGTGGTGGTTTTAACCTGTGGCAAGGAACTTGTAGGAATACACAATTTCTTTTCAACAGATATAGTTGACTGTAAGTACAATATTACACTCTTTTTTTTAAACCCCTCAAAAAAGGCATAAATATTTATATTTGGAATGTGTATAGTATTTATATTAGTGTATTTTTGTTAGTGAGTAGTATACAAATTGACTGCTCGTGAGGGGAATGGTGAAATCTATTGCCCCGAGGTGATGTGGAGACCGTAGCCTATCTTCCCGAGGGGCCCAAGGGAATATAGGCTACGGTCTCCACATCACCGAGGGGCAATAGATTTCACTGTTCCCCGAATATAGAGCAGTCAAAATTTGTTTTATGTACCTTGTACATAGATTCTACTAGGCCTAAAAAAGTACTTCCTAGCTTGTTATATTAGAGGCCTAATACTCGACTAGCTAAAGATTGTGTCTAGCTCTTCTTTGCTTATTTCCTCAATTTCAACAGCACCCATCGTCTTGCAATAATATATTTGTCGAATATTGATAAGACATACTTAATTTGTCTTTTGGTGCTTTTGCTATCGGCTTCATCAAGAAGTAATGCTAGGTCTAGGCTAGTCTTCCTTCATCTCGAAATGACCAGCCTCCATATTTGTTTATCGTCTACTCGCTGATCCGTGATGCAGTCAGTGGATAATCTTGTCGTAGAGGTCGCAGTCCCCTTTACTGTCAGCAGCGCGATGTAGTGGGCCTAGAGTTTGCACATCGCGACAGGTAAAATAAGTACTATTTTAGACGGGAATACTGTAGTACTTTTTGAGAAGAATAGTACTTTCTATTGCCCTGCTTCTTAACCAATCAGATGCCTAGAATCTATGTATGAGGTATACAATATTTATTAGTGTATAGTTATTAAGTACTGTTATTATATTAGTTTTTCATGTCTTCTACTGTACAATCTTGTTTACGTATAAGCATTACTGTTGCTCTGCAAATCATGGATGATGGAACCAGTCATTGGTTCCATCATTCGTGATTTGCACAGCAATGGTGATGTTTGTAAACAAGATTGTTGAAGGCTTGAAAAACTTCACAAACAATTAAGAAAAGTTAAAGCTGACGTTAATTTTCTCAACAATTGTAAAATCTTCAGTGTATTTCCCAAGTTTGTTCTTATATTGTTGTTTGCTTATTTTTACTAATATTTTTATTGTTATTACTGTATACTGTATTGACTTGTTATATAGTTTGCCAACAACAAATTAATTTCTTTTACAGTACTTTACTTTTGCTTTTACAGTACAAGACCAATAAAAGTTCTGTATTCTGTATTCCATACTGAAATTATTATTTAGAATAGTTAAATACTTTACTTTATTTAAATGAGTATCAGCAATTAATTGATAATTAGTAGAATAAGAAAATATAATTTTTGCTTTTAAGAATTAAAAAAAAAATATTTTGTTCTAAACCTTGGCTCTAGTGGAAGTTGTTGACATCGAAGATAAAACTGTGAAAACAGCCTCGCCTCCAAAGCAGCCGGTTGTAAACAGAGAAATTACTGTACAAGAGGTACCAGTACACTTACCTGATAATGATGATGGATTTTCTTCGGATAACAACCAATATACAGGTATAGAGTGTTATTTGTGTTTTGTATTTATAAAAGTAATTTTTCGTTTTGCTGACATTAATTTGTGGCGAGTCCATTTAGTTTGATATAATATAATTAATATTAATTATAAATTTACTGTGAAAATTATGACATTATTAGTTGGATAACAGCAAGATGATGCTGAATGCTAGAATAGGTCTGATTATGGTAAAGGCCAATCAAAAAAATTGTTTAATTTTATCAGCCTATCTAGGCTGGAAAAGTGATGAAAGCTTTGTATTTTTTATAAACTGAAAAGCCAATCTTGAGATTGCAGACTTGCGTAGTTTAACTTCCATTTTCTAAGAAGTTTTAAGTTACTCTCTCTGTCTAGACTATCAAATTTTCTTTGACAAAAAATGGATATGCCCATATATAGTCATGATGTGCCCATATATAGTCATGATGTGCCTATATATAGTCATGAAGTGCCTATAGTCATGATGTGCCCATATATAGTCATGATGTGCCCATATATAGTCATGATGTGATGTCATTATGACCATATTTAGGCATGTCACATGTTTTGTCCTGAAAGAACTTGATAATCTGGACAGGGCTTTATATCAGAGCTTGTTATTGGTTCATTGCATATTAATTATAAAGTATTGACCAATCATAGATCTTTTTATAAATCAGAGCCTGTTTCCTCAAAACCAAGTAATGAAAGAGATGGGTACAAGGCTAATGACCTCTTTGTGCTGACAAGACTAGATGACAGTTATCATGAAGCAGTAAGTCAAAGGGGGCGTGCCAATCTGTATCCTGTGTACAATAAAAGCCCTAAAAAATGTGATGTGTTTGATTGATGTGATGTGATTGATTTTTATAAAATTTTTTTTTCACTCAAGGTGTGGACTGGCTCTTACTGTAACTTGCTTCCCCCCTAAGGTCTCTTCGTTGGCCTATGGTTTATAGTCCTTACCCGAGAAGACTTGTTCCAGCACCAGAACCATAGACGAGCGTGCCCCTGCCTACCTGGTAGGGTTAAATGCCAAAATGCGCTGATGTAGCTGACTACCATTTTATGGAACAATTTGTGTTCCATAGGCGTCTAATCCAATGACGGGGGGTAGTAATGTGAAACGCTTAGAGGCCTTGTTGCCATTAAGCGTTATATGAATATAACATATTATTATTATGAAACTGCTTGTTCATCCAATTTGCATTTTTCACTATGGTTTTCCATCTTAATGAGTATTCCACAATAAACAGAATTACAAATAATAACCATTTTTTGCTGATATTTACAAACACAGAAACTAGGGTGTGTAATAATGTTTATCATACACCTAACAATACCAAACAGTGGTACTTTAGGAAGGTTTACTGCTGACATATTTATGGTTTATTTGTATTTGACTGGTTTTGTAATTATAAGTTATAATTTTGGTGATTGTGATATTCCATAAGATATTATACAATGTTTAGCTATTTATTTGTTTTTAATTAATCCAAAGGTTAAGGACTTGCAAGGTCAAACTGAACTTGGTTTAGCAATGGAGGGCATTGACCTTGGAAGGAATGGAAAACTCTCACTAATTCAGGTAAATAATATATTATTATTATTATTAATATAAGCAGATATTAATGATGGTGATAATAATGTTAATGTATATAGGCAGTCTGCAATTTGCAGGTATTATATGAGAGTGGCTTTGATTTAGACTAAGCAGGTATATTATAATGATAAGTGTGGAATGGTATTGTTTCAAAGTAAGCAGGTATAGCATAGTTGATGACCAAGGAAATGTTATTCATTAGCAGTTCCTGAGTAAACATTTGTTTCGTTGTTTCAATTATTAATAAATCCAGAAGGCTCTTGATTGATATTAATATGCAGTGCATTAGATCAAACATATATATCATGTGAAGTATTATATTAAGTTACTTTTAAATTTTATAAAATGTAAATTAGGCTTGAAAAATATTTATGCCTCCAACCATTAAAACTACCTTGATAAAATGCCTCCTGTACCAAATGTTATCTGTATACTACAGTATATAACCCAATAGTTTATTTTACAATTTTTTTCCACCAAAATGCCTCCAGAACATTCATGATGTCTCTGACTGCCGGTTGCACAGTCACACACTTGTTCCAGCCCTGCTTGATATGCTGCAGTATACGGGGGTTTAGTAGGTCTACCAAGACCTACAGTAGTTTAGCTGCAGTATTCCCCTTGAGCAAAAACAACTACAAAACATTATCTGTTTTGTCTCTTCTTATAGTCATAACTTTTAAATGAACTTCTGTTGTCATTTATTTACCTATTTTTTTATTTATGTATTTACTTATTTATTTATTTATTTTTTATTTATTTGTTGTTCTTTTTTGTTTGATTTCCATTTTATGATTGTTTTTACTTTCATTTCCTTAAGGCATGCCCAGCACAAGATATTTTTCTTCTCGGGATCATGCCTTCTTCCATAGATTGTTTTCATCTTTTTTAACTTAAATCATATTACTGTGTATATTTTGTGTATTCTGTGGAAGTAAATAAATGCCTTTTCATTTGATTTGATAGTTTTCAACCAAAGAGAGATTATACATATTTGATATCAAGCTGTTAGGTAGAAAGGCATTCAACACAGGCATCGGTGATATCATTGAAGATAAATCAATTGTAAAGGTGAGTCCATAAAGTAATATTTCCACAAGACAATTCATATCATGTGACAAATAACTATGATATGACCATATTTGCGTGTAATATTACATCATAATGCCCATATATGACATCATCATGCCCATATATGGGCATATCACTCATATTTTTCACATAAAGTTTGCTAATGTGGACAGGGCTTAAAAGTAGGCTCCTGATGATAGGAGCATGTGTATGCTGCAGATACTAGCATTTTACATTTACTCTATAATTTGTTAAGTGAAAAAAAATTGTCCTGAGGACCGTTAGTTGAGTAATTAACATGTGTTTGTCGTTATCATAGGCGCAATATTGGCTCGGTTGGGGTTGTCTGGTGTTTATCACACTGTACTAGGCGTTCCTGTCAAATGAATTGAACTGAAATTAACCTTAATAGTAAATGCATTCCATTTTACAGAAAAATTCCTCTACCACAGCATAGAGTATATCTGTGGAAGCACAGTATACTAAAAAATACATTCAATTAAAGTTATATGTATTTAACTAAAAATTGCAGGGAGTGCTCCCAACTGATTTTTGAAAAATGTTTAATTAGTTCAACTTGGTATTTGTATTGTTTGTTGTTGATAAATGTATTTATAAAATGTATGTTATTTTTCGTTTTTGTTTTTTTTGTGTGTTTTATTATCTGCTCTTGGAGGTTCTGAATTAATTTGTATAGATATAGAATATAAAATGCTGAAATGAAAGTAAAAAATAAAATGTTTTTTTTTTTTTTGTAGGTAATCCATGATTGTCGTGCTCTGTCAGATCTTCTTTACCATCAGTATAGTCTGCGGTTAGCAAATGTATTTGATACGCAGGTACGTAAAACAAACCTATTATTTGTTCATATTAATATTGATATTCTATTCAATTCAAAACAAGTGATTAATAAAGACTGTTGTAAATGGTTTTAATCATTTTAGTACCATAGTTCCTTGTGTGTAGGCCCATCTCTGGTATAAGCCCATTGCATCCTTTGTGCCCAATTTTAGATACCAGTCTTTCCTCGTATAAAAGCCCAGGGTATGGTTTCAATAAGTAGCTTAGCTGTTATTACTCGGAAAAAAATTTAATTTTGGCCTTGAATTAGGCATGCAGTGCTGAAAAATAGCCTTTTTAAAATTGCTGCATGATCTAGATTTGTTTAAATTAAGCACAATGCATGTTATTATAATTGATATTCTATGGGAGGCAGGATTTGTCTCAATGTACGCTTTAGAAAATCTAATTTAAATTATTGATATCCGAGTGGTTCATGCTATACTTAATGGTGCTAATATGCAATGGCCCAGGTCTAGTATAAGCTTGAATCTTGCACTATTTTAGAAACTGCTTCTTTTAGGACATTGGCGGAATAACATCCCTACACCATGATTCATATTTGGTTTGGTTCCCTTGATTTTGTTGAGAACAATATATGTACCAATGAATTTCCGTATGGATGAGATAAAATTTATCATATTGTATCGTATCTTTTTGTGATGCTGGCATCACATGCCTAAATAAACATTGGAAAAAATTCTAATGGATATTCTTCTTAGGTGGCGGACGTCGTTGTATGGAAACGTGAGCATTCTGGCAATTTGCCAAATAAAGTGAAGTCGCTTCCAGTTTGCCTAATGGAGTATTTGGACAGTACTGAAGCTGAGCCTGTAAACTTTATGATGTCACAAGAAAAATATATCCAGGTAAAATTTTTTTCTAGATTCGCTATAGACGATATTTCTTTAGGAATGCTTAGTTGGAGTCCAAACCTCAGACCACTATACTATCTACTAAAATTTATAGCTTATATTTATATATAATAACCATCCTATGGTTACTGTAGCTTTGTGGTTAAGATGCTTGCCTTTCCTTTCACAGTCTTGGGTTCGAATCTTTCAAGAAATTTGTTCTCGGCACTAAATTAAATTTTTTTAAATGTTGTCTGTAAAAAGGTAAAAAGCTACTCTTTAGGGTATTGACATTAATTGGGAAAGTTTCCACCCTACTGGACTGACCATAGCTGAGGATACTTAAGTTAGCTGGATAAATGCAGTAGGGAAAAATAGGCAAAATATGGTAATAATGAATCAACATGTCTCCCTCCAATTAAAGACCACTTTTGTGACCAAGTTTTCATTGTCTTTAGCAGCTTTGGTCTCTAATTAGAATAATAAAGATAAAAGACATTTGTTAATTTGGGACCACAGAAAAATGGTCTTTAATTGGAGGTAGTGTTTAATTGGAGGAGTCTTTAATTAGAGGGAGACCTAGATATGTATTCTTTATTGTGAAACTCATATTAAAAATACAAATTAAAAAATTGACTTACTACAGTAATTGTGATGAACACCGAGAAAACAACCATACAATGATACAATACATTAATTAAAAATCCCATTATACAATTAATAAATTATTATTACAAATAATAAACAAATTGACTCAAGTGTTTTTTTTTTATTGCAGCAAGATCCGCAGCTTTGGGAAGAGCGCCCTCTAGATAAGAAGATGCTCAAGTTCGCTGACCTTAGAGTTCGAAATCTTCTGGAATTGCGAACTATGCAAACCAACTACATGATGAAGGACTTCAGAATGGGTGTATTGGAATATCTGAGCATCTGGAGGGACAAGACGAGCACAAGAGAAAAGAAACCGGTAATTGTACAAAATATTTTAGGATCAAATTTTTGACATATTTATATCCATTCAAAATTTTAGGTATAAATTAATTACAGTGAAAATTTCTATAGGATGTCTGCAATGATACAGTTAGCTTACAGTAATGCAACTTACAAATCATGGTTAAAGGTAGAAGGTAAAATAAAAACTGATAATTTAAACAGGATGTTTATTGCTGAGCTAAAATTAAAGTGCAAACTCTAGTCTAAATTAAAGAAAATGTAATAATGTGAATTGAAAAAAAAAACTAAAAATTGTTAAATGACAGTAAATTATTTGTAAAAAATGATGAAAAGATAGAAATGAAAAGGTGTAGAACTGAGATTAATTTTTTATGTAATATGTTGATATTTAAGAAAATGTTTATGATTTATTTTACATACCAAAAAGCAGAAAGTAAAGTAAAAAAATGTTAAATCAAACAGGATGTTCATTGTTGAACTAAAATTAAGGTCTAATCTAAAGGAAATGTAATGATGAGAGTTGAAAAAAAAAAAAACTAACTAAAAAGTGTTAAATGAAAATAAATTATTTGTAAAAATAAGATGAAAATATGTAGGAAAACAGAGATTAATTTATTATGTTCTTATATTGATTTTATGTAAATTTTTATGGTGAAATAATGAGAATAAACGTGGCTTTGCCAGAAAGAGAGAAAAAAAAATACTTACAGTAATGCAAGTAAATTAAACTATCAAAGAAATTTATGCACTTTTCTTTTCTATGAAGCTGTGAGATTAAGGTTATATCCAAGTGCAAGATAAGAAAATGCTTCTTGAAATGGACAAGAGATTGTTTCCTTTTTTCTGAGCATATCACACTGGTGGAGCGCTGTATTTAGGCTGCTGCTTCTCCCCATGGATCTAACTTTTAATTTTGTAATTTTCTCAGTTAGGTACAAATTGTACTTCTCTTTAAGGCTTTATACAAAAGTGGGTGAATAAACCTCATTTATTCATTAATAGATTAATAAATTAATTGAAATATTGTATTTAATACATTACAGGTTTCAGCGTACGAGAGTGTACCAAGGTCAGTGGGAAAACATGTTCAAGACGCTCCAGCGTACCTAGAAGAGCCAGATGAGGGCGACTGCTACTTTGATAGGGACAACATTAAGCAGCCTAATTATTGGAGTAGGGATGCTTGGAAGGAAGGCAGTCAATTTCATGATGACGACGACAAATATGCCTGGTATCGAGGTAAGCAAAAGTCCTTACATTATCACTGGGTGTTTCTTTCCCTCTTTGAAACACATATTTAGGCAAAGAACTGTAAGTGGTGTAGTGTATCCCTGAACAGTCTCCCGGGATAAACAATAAAAGAAAGAAAGAAAAAAAAGAAAGAACAGTGGCGTAACATCAACAGGCTCTCGCGTGCAAAACCCTGGGCCCCAAAGCACCCCCTCCTACTAACAACAAGGATTCTACTGCAGAGCTTTGACACTGTCCAGTAGAAAGACACCCAAAGCTAGCAATAAAACAATATAATCTCTGGTTTTTAAGTCAAAATTTTAACAGTAGTGAAATTGCTTATAATATAGTGTTTTCAGTCTTAATATCCATAATTGTTTTAATGTAGGGGGTGGGGTGGGGGTGGTGTATTCACTCAAACACTGTTCCTTCAGCCACTTTTGTGGGCTCCTAACATTTTCACACCCCAGACCCGTGAATTATCGTTATGCCACTGAGTTGGAACAGTCCATTATTGTTGATAATTATTCTTGTAATTATTAAATCATCACCTTTATTTTTATTTGTTTTTGTATATTTCATCATTTGCAGTGTCATTAAAATATCAATCAAGCAGAACTAGGGGAAAGTAAAACACAAGATTAACTTTCAAAATACTAACCATTATGAAAGATATTTTTTGATTATCTAATAAGTATTTGATCACTAAATATAGAATAACCACAAACAGCATTATACTTGATTACAAAAGTTGATGTATTTACAAAGCATTAGTACATTGATTATTGTTGATGGTTTTTTTTTTTTTTTATATGATTAAATGTAGTTTTTTTTTCTGTTGATAGAAATACAGTCACAACATATGGCTAGTAATGGTGTTTTAGCTGGTTCAGAGGAGGAAAGCGCAATAAATGATTATATGTATCATCAACACAAGAGTTTCCGAAAACCCTTTCACCAACGCCACACACAAAATAAGAAAACAAACATTATTAAAATGGATGCAAGAGACAGTACTGAGTCTGACCTAGCAGAAAATGCATTTAAACTGCAAAAGAAAGAGGAACCACATCCTATCCGACAGAACAATAAAGGATATACCAGTGGTGGTAACTTAAGAAGCTTTAACTTGACCAATGAAGAAAGTTCTTTCCAATCATCATCAAGCTTGCCCTCATCATCAGATGAGATACTGAATTCAACCAGTAATGAGAGTTCTCCATATAGAGGGCGGTTTGCAAAAACGTCATCACCATGCAGAAATTCTTCAAACAATGCTAAAAGTAATGTCCCTGCACCCTCGGTGAAAAGAATGAATTCGCAAATGCAAAAATTGACATTGAAAAATATTTCTCGAGAATTTGCAAAACCATCACAATCTCCTCCTCCTTTGAGTTCGGACTTAAATGAATGCCTAAATCCTGTTGAACCAACTTCATATGCCATGGCCGTTAGTGGACAATCATGTATGTCTGGAACAAAAAATGGACCAGAATCTCCCAATCCTTCAGGAAAAACTAGTCGTAAAGGAAGAGGGAGGGGAAAGACACTCAAGTCATATCGTGAACTTATTGGGCATTGCCAAAAGCGAGAGGTAACAAAACATAAATATATTTTATTTTAAATATTTTATTGTTTATATGTGACAAATAGTGGCATATTTAGGGGTGCGCACGCCCCTCCAAAAATTACCCACGCCCCCCACACTGTCATGTTTTCTTTGACAAAAAACTGTTGTATGCCCATATATAGTCATGAAGTGCCTATATATGGTCATGATGTGATGTCATCATGACCATATTTAGGCATGTTATATGTTTTATTCTGGACAGGACTTTAAAAATCCAAAGTGGGACACAGAAAAGTAATCAGGTACAACATTTTGATAGATGATGATAAGATGATAGAATAAGACAATGAATGCAGTCTTTGTGGTCAAAAGATCAAACTCGATAATTTCGGAACTGATCCTGGCGCCAAAATACTTTCGGGCCACTTGAGACATTTGGGAATGTATTATAACCCAAAAATTTTAATAATTTTCTTGACCGACAAGTCATGGTCAACAAGGGGACTAGCTATCCAATGGGCTCTAATTATATTGCCAACAAGATACTTGATTGCTTGATAAAGATAAATATTATAATTTGATCAACTACTTTTGGATGATTTCATCATGCAATCCTCAAGGAAAAGGCCTACAGGAGAAAAGAAGGGTATTTCCTACAGAATAAATTTAATAGTAAACAAACGCGTACCACACCCAACTTGTGTGGTCTTAAAAAATAAACATTTTTAATTTGTTTTCCAGGAATCAACAGTGCCGCTATTACGTGGAAATGCTGTGAGATGCGACTTTCCGTCCGATAATGTGGTTAAGAATGCACCAAGAGGAATCGCCATTGCTAAAGATACCCATATTTCAGGCTTAGCAAAATCATAGCCTGTCGTTGGTGTTTTAACAAACACTATCTTCACAGAGTATTTGCCCAGAAAATTGAAAATATGCAGATTGCATTATCTGTTACATCCGAGTCGGTTAAAATCATTTTAGGCCCATTAAATGGCCCTGAAATGTATTTATTCGGAACACAGCATCCAGGTCCTCCACGGGTTTCCAAGACAAATCAATCCAGCCGTCACACGAAAAAGTCTCCCAAAAATTCAGATTGTTTTCACTGTGTCAGAATATAATATGTTATGAAAGCTCAACTAAAACCAGATCCCAAACTGGATATGGTGGTGTATATTTTAATATATTACGATCTTAAAAAAAAAACTTTTTGAATTTTATGAGCATTCCTTGAAATTATACCATTTTTAAAACATTTTTTACATTAGAAATTTTTCTAGCTAATTTTAAACTTATGATTGCTTGCGAGCTTGTATTAACAGAAAAGAAATTATATTTTTAATGATCAGTTTATCTGTAATATAGTGACTCTTTAAGCAATATTAACCATTATAGAGTTTTGTGTTCTGGTCGGTAGTATAAGATGGGCACACATTGCGTACAATCAGATCGTTTTCAATGAAAGTCACTAGATGATAACTTGTTGTATACTTGTTTGTGGTTGAAGCAGTGGGTAACAGACTTAAAATGCTACACTTTTAATAGAATTGACAATCAATCATTCCATTGCTATGTTTTTATTTATTTTTTTTTAACAACTTTTACTTGAGAAATAGTTTCCCCCAGACTAGTTTTACAGCATACTATCCTGTGCACATGGTAGTGTAATATTACACTGTTTGAAAGCACTTATTGGATGCATGTAACATTGGTTATTAATGTATATTAATTTGTTAACTACTACTGTAATAATACTCTGAAATTAAATGATTGAAATAGTTTTATCCCGTTTACTGTACTGTTGTCAAGGTAAAGGTAGAATAACCCATAACTCATCGCGTCATTAAAACGCATTATTGGCAATGTTCACATCATTCCACAACCGGCGCTGAAATGAACCAGATGTGTATCACTGGACCTCCGTTTTAAGTCCTTATCCGAGCAAATTGGGTTATAATAACCGAACCCTGGATGAAAAGCGGCTCAAACCAGCGACAAGGTTGCAGTTAGCAGTGCCCCTGCCTTACCGCTCGGCTACTCGACATTATATCAATGCTTGTTCATCTGTCATCAATCGATTCATAGTGTCAGCATCAGGCTAACTGTACTGCACTAATACTTTTCAATATAATGTTGTTTTCTTTGAATATAGGTATGGAAACTTGAATAGATATCCAGCTTAGCAAGTCCAGTTTCCAATCCCTTGTGTTATGCTCTGTCCAGAATATCAACTGTATGCCCATATGTCGGTGTTCTCCCAAAGCCGTTCTAGCCATCAATTTTACCAGTAAAAATAACTGACCAACCATTAAAAATTGTGTGATGGTAGAAATTAAAAAAAAAAAACACTTATTAGCACTAGATTGCCTAGGCTGGCCTTCTTTCAATAATGAACATCATTCCACTGTTAAGTCTAAGCCTAGGCTATGATTATATGTACAGTACTGTTGTTTTTTTAAAGCCATTGAACTCCACTTAAAAGAAGTAATACCTCAGGATGCGTGCGCTTAGCTGGCTTATGAACAAATTTACCAGTAAAATTTGTTCAATTGGGAAAACACTTTATGTAGTTATGATGTGCCAATACGGTACTGCGTATGGTCATAATATGATGTCATCATTACCATATTTAGACATGTCAGTAAAATAAAATTTAATAGCCTGGACAGGGCATTAAATGTCTGAAATATTCGCCTTTTTATCAAGAACGCAATGAAAATACACTACATACATGTAATAGATCAAATTTTTATTGAAATACTGTATAGCAACTTAAAAGTGTATTAGTTACTTTAGTTGAAGTGGCCTTGGGTCATTAATTTTTACCCATAATCATCCTTCTATACAATAAACATCCTGTGATTAGTTGTGGTCTAACATAGCCTCATATAGAGAAATATAATAAGTATACCTTGTTTGTAAGCCATTTTTAAAGGTAAAAACTATTATCTAACTTTACAGTATCAAATATAATACAACTATGTCCACATTATCACATATTCTTTGATAAAAAAAAACTGTTGTATGCCCATATATAGTCATGATGTGATGTCAACATGGCCATATTTAGGCACGTCACATGTTTTTGTCAAATGAAATTTAATTGTCTGGACAGGGCTAAAGGCTCTATGTACACTATTAGGTTTTATGTCTTTGTGGGAATTGCCCAAATATGGTCATAATTTCATAAAGCCATATAATAGTGTTTTATGTAATGAACAAAAATAGATTAAACTCTCCAAATTTGCTGGTTTACAACCAGCAAAAAGGCATTCAAGAATATCAATATTTAATCGGTTTCATTGTTGAGGGGGAAACAATGTGTACTGCGCTGTTTCACCCCCATTCTTTGCTACATATTCAGCCAACTCATAAATATCTCTTTTGTGGCCAATGATAAGGTATCTAGATTCACCCTTTCCATACGAGATGCTTTTGAGGTTGTACTTTTGAGATGTGTTGTGTAATATCTTTCTCTGCTCACTCGTCAATTCTGAAGAAAATACCAAGTCATCTTCACGGCCTGACACAGCAAAATTCTTCACCATCTCCTTTAAGGCATTTGTGTCTGTTGAAGCAGCGGCAATGGCACCAAAACCATCACGACGTCGACCTCGTTCTTCAACTGATACCGGTTCCACAATACCTTGTCCTTTCTTACCTAAGCCGCCTTCCCCAGACCATCCCATTTTCTTCATGAGTTGCATCCCAATTCCAGAGGTAATCTTCTTTGAGTTTTGTGCGGCGCCTGTCTTGATAGACTCCATGTTGATGGCGTTACTCTGGGCAGTTTTATGTTCGTGAAACTTTGTCTGAAGAGTATAACAAGTTGTCTTTAATTGCTTCACTGCTTTTTCAGCAACTAATTTCTTAACATACTTTTTATCTGGATTAATAGCCTGTGCAATCACCTTTCCACCAAGCAATAATGTCCCCAAATACCCAAACTCATCATTATGTTTAACAAATGTCTCTGAAATTTCAAACATTATATCAATTTTATTTTTTGCCGCTGAACGTATAAGTGTGCTGAGTGGACACTCGATACTAGAACTTTCGACAAGAATAAAATTACCAAAAGGTTTGGTAATACTAGGACATGATTGCTTGTTAACCATTAAATTTGATGAGTTGGACATGTCATCTTGAATTTGTTCACACTCTGTTGTATTACTCTCTGTTGCAAGTTCACAATGTTCGATATTGTCACTAACGCAAGGCTCAGATGTATGTTTACAACCAGTTGCAAGTTCACAATGTTTGATATTGTCATTAATGCAAAGCTCTGATGTATGTTTACAACCATTTAAGCTGGTACAACTAACATCCTTTATGTAAAGTCCTGGGTGAAACAAAAGAGCCATAGCATTGTTGAGACAATTACGTTTAGCTGACATCTTGCTAGTGTTCTCAGCTGAGGATATTAACAAATCTCCCATGTACAACCTACATATCCAAAATCGTTTCGTTTCTTTCGCCTTTTTAATCCTTTTTTTCTCTGTGAAATCAATTTCAGGATTTACTCTAGCACGGTTAGCACAGTTATAAAATGTTTCAACAGCGTTTGAGTGTTGAACACTGGACTGAGGCGGTAGGTTACTAATTAAGCGTTTTAATGGTTCCGGTAGTTGCTTAGGAACAGTATCTTTTGAATTTCCAGAATCTGATTGGCCAGATGGGACATGATCTAGGGGGGCTGCTTGCTTTCTTATTTTACTGCATGAAGGTTGTAACAAAGTATCACACTCTTCAGCTGCTCTTTTCATACTTGAGGGGTATTGGGGTATGTTTGCTGTACTTTTTATTTGACAACTATCTTGTGATGCCTGAGGGTCAATTCCTTTTGCCAGATCTTGTACTTGTTCCATTAATTCGGGTGCATATCTAGAAGGTAAATTACAATATATATGTATATGAAATTTCATTGTAAACAAATTATGTTCAAAGAAGTATAAATGTGTCTACAGGTAGATATCAAGTTGGTCTCCAAAGTTAACTTTCTAAAATTATCTATGAAATAAAATCAATACTACAACTAATATAAATAATCACAACATAGAATCAGAGTAGTATTATCCAGAAATATAGCTTGCTTGATTGGTGTATAAACTGAAGGACAGTTTTGGCAGGCATTACTATCAAACAACTTGTATTATTTAATGTGCTTTATAAAATTAATCAAGAATTTCTGTTGTTATTCATTTCTGTAGTACACTACAGTTACTAATTTCACATAAAAAGTTGCTTACCATTGCATTTTATGGTATGGGTTGGGGGTTAATGCCTGCTGCTAGTTCGTTCACTTTATCCATCAATTCTGGATGATACCTACCACACGAAAATACACATAATTATCTCAAAGACAGGGGCTATCATTGGAATGTCATCTGTTTCAAATGTGGACCAGTTTGGCCACGATGTACTATATTTACAGTAATGTACATCCAGATAATTAGAAATTAAGTGTGTTTTGTTTGTCTTACTTTATACTTACTTTATAAATAAATACATGTAGGCGTATTACAGACAGTATCATATCAGTTACACATATACCAGTCAGTGGGAATGCAAGTTTGTTTTTTTTCTTTCTCAAAATTACACACAATTACACACAATTACACACATTTCTTGAAAGCCAAATGGCTACTACTGTACTTCCATTGCCAAATTCACATCATTTTAAATTAAAACATGTTGCTTTCCCAGTCTTTTTATATTTAAATTTAAGTCAATATGCATATTAAGTATATTTTAAACATTATTGTACACTGACAGTATTTAATTTAGGATGATAGTCATTCAATAAATACTGAAAAAATACAAAATGTGGTCCATACTGTTACAGTACATCAGGCCTAACTAGTCGGGAGCCGAAACGGTCCTACCTATAAATTAATGGTCGTTCCCCAACAAGACATTTTTAAGCCTAGCAAAAATTTGGTTGTTTCCACAAAATTTTACATTTTAATTAAAATAGAATATGCATACAGTACTCTTTATGTTGTCGTCAATGCTAGGATTATTTGCTTGAGTACTATGAATTCAGCAAACGCCTAGGCCTAGCCTAGCATTGAATTGATGTTTTTCTCTATACCCTAGCCTAGGCCCCTACAGACCATGCTAACCAGCCACTCACTACAGCGGGGTCCGCCGTGATGGGGTACAGTAGTCTGGTGACTTACTTGGCTCCATCGTATTCCATATTTGACCAGACCATGGACAGGCATACAATCTGTCGCTCTGGATAGTCAGCCCAATTCCTTAGAAGAAACTCTTTTCTAGCAAGCCAGTGTCCTGCAGGCTCATATTCTTTTTTATATTTTGTTTCTATATAAGCTGATAACTCGTCGGAATTCATTGTGCTTTTTTCAACTTCCTCAGCCGCTTTCGTCGCGTCGCAGGAGGTGATTCTGGAGTTCCTATTATAGAGACGCGACGCGATTCAAATGAACAGCGCCATCAAAAGTACAAAGCAGTAAGCAGCGCGGTAAGTTAGTAATTTTACATACCCACCCCACCCCCTCCCCATAGAAAACAATACGACAATACGGCTTATCTTATTTAAAATATAGGCCACACATGTGCAAGCATTATCACCATGGTTTTATTTATTACAAACATATTCGTTCACCATCAATACACATTGAGGCCCTTCTTTTAGGTAAAACGATCTATCTTAAATCATGGAGTTATAAAATTAATTATAACGCCATGCTTAAATGTTCTTTCTATTTGAGTTGGGACTATTATATGTTCAATTAACTTAGAAGGCAAATGAGGACAAGCACAAATACTCACCCCCAAAATTATGCGCGCAGGGCGCGTAAGATTTTTTTTTTTTTTTTTTGGAGAGTTTAGGGCTTTTGTTGGCGCCACACGTTTTTTTGAAACTGAATGTAAGCATTTTCATTATGGCTTTATTTTATTACAAACATATTCTTTCACCATCATTTACACATTGAGGCCCTTCTTGTAGGTAAAACGATCTACCTTTAATTTTCTTTCATAAATATTTGACTATTATATGCCAAAATAACCCTAAAAATTGTTGTGTTTTTAATTCTAATTTTGTCGAAATTTCTCAAAACTCTCTAAATGTGCAATTTTTATAGTAAATGGACCTACGTTAACAAGAAATGCGCGAAATTTGAGATTTTTAGGCACTTCAGAGGGTGAAAAGGGAATCTTCAAGGGGTGGGGAATTATCTTCCACCGATGGATATTTTCCCCTTGTCCCCCGGTGGTTACGCCAATGCGGAGACTATCTGGCAGCTTAGATCAAAGGAGCTATGGACACTTTTTGAAGTGGAGAAGGAGTTGCAGGGTGTTGTGATTCTAGTCATTATGATATCTTCCTTTTTATTTTTCTCTTCTCTTTTTCTTTTCCTTTTTCCTTTCCTTTTCTTTTCCCCTCCTTTCTCTTTCCCTCACTCTCCCCTCTTTCTTTTCTCTTATTACCCATCCCGGTACGACGGCTTGGTCAACCCGGTAAAAACCGTCAGGGGGATGGGGGGGGGGGCGTCTGCCCCCTTCCCCCGCTTGTTACGCCACAGACTTGGTATGATGGATGCACAGGTTTTTGCAAATTATGTAACTGTAAGTCTGTGGAAAATGAAATTAAAATTGCTCTATTTAAAAATAATTTACATAAATATTGGGAAAGTTTTTCCAATGGTTCACCAGATTTAAAATTCATTATTTGCTTGATGATCTTTTCTCAAATTCCACTCTAGGTTTAATTTTTGATACAGTATTAAAGAATATCTAAACGATGCATTGGAAAAACGAACACATGTTTTAAATGACCCTGCTAATAATGTTAATAGTTTATAAGTTTTTTTTTTCTTCTTATTTCTTTACATAATTTTATGAATAGACATTACTGTACTTTGATATGTATGTTTTTACATCCATTTCACATTGCATTTATGTGCTTGTTTTTATTTATTTATTTATTTATCTATTTTTATTTACTTTATTTTTTTTTAAATTATTATCCCCCTTTTTAAGATTTTAAACTTTAGAACAATATTATTTTAATTGCATTTGGATTTTTCATTACTATTATCTTTTTTTTTTAATGAATTTTATCTTTACTTGTAACTTTCTTTTGTTCTGTTGTATGGTCGAACCTCTCCTGCGTGAGAGTGTTACTCTGCTTCGAAAGAGAGAGCCAATGAAATATATATGGACGACACTACTGCAGGTTCATGAATGATTAAGTAGCAATATGGGCCTATAAATTGAATATTCATTTAACCAGGAGTGGAGCCCTATGTTGCAGGAGTCTATATATTAATCCTTAGATGGGCACCGCTACTGAATGATGGGCACCTCTACAGCAGGTGTTGTTATATTTTATATATTAATCCTTAGATGGGCACCGCTACTGCATTATGGGCACCGCTACTGCAGTGTTGTTATATTTTATATAGGCCTATTGATCCTTAAATTTATTTATATATAATTTTTATTCATTCTTTATACTGTAGGCACCTTCAGAACTATTACACTGATTTTGAAAGTGGTACAGTTTAAACATCTAAGTGCCCATCTAAGGATTATTATATAAAATATAACAACACCTGCAGTAGCGGAGCCCATCATTCAGTAGCGCTGCCCATCTAAGGATTAATGGTGTATAAAATATAAAAACACCTGCAGTAACGGTGCTCATAATGCAGTAGCGGTGCCCATCTAAGGATTAATGGTGTATAAAATATAAAAACACCTGCAGTAACGGTGCCCATAATGCAGTAGCGGTGCCCATCTAAGGTATAATATTTATATTTTATATATTAATCCTTAGATGGGCACCGCTACTGCATTATGGGCACTGCTACTGCAGTGTTGTTATATTTTATATAGGCCTATTGATCCTTAAATTTATTTATATATAATTTTTATTCATTCTTTATACTGTAGGCACCTTCAGAACTATTACACTGATTTTGAAAGTGGTACAGTTTAAACATCTAAGTGCCCATCTAAGGATTACTATATAAAATATAACAACACCTGCAGTAGCGGAGCCCATCATTCAGTAGCGCTGCCCATCTAAGGATTAATGGTGTATAAAATATAAAAACACCTGCAGTAACGGTGCCCATAATGCAGTAGCGGTGCCCATCTAAGGATTAATATATAAAATATAACAACACCTGCTGTAGAGGTGCCCATCATTCAGTAGCGGTGCCCATCTAAGGATTAATATATAGACTCCTGCAGCATAGGGCTCCACTCCTGGTTAAATTAATATTCAATTTATAGGCCCTATTGCTACTTAATCATTCATGAACCTGCAGTAGCGGTGCCCATAATGAAATAGCGGTGCCCATCTAAGGATTAATGTATAAAATATAGCATCACCCTGCAGTAGTAGTGACCGTAATGCAGTAGCGATGCCCATCTAAGGATTAATATATAAAATATAACAACACCTGCAGTATCGGTGCCCATAATGCAGTAGCGGTGCCCATCTAAGGTATAATATATACAATATAACAACACCTGCAGTAGTGGTGCCCATACTGCAATAGCGGTGCATCCAACAAGTCACCCCGATATTTCTAATTTATTTATAAACTAATACCGTAGTTTATTTACTAAAAAGTGACTAAACAACAACGGAAAATAAGGGCATATACATAGATATCTATTTATTCATCCATAATTGGAAATTATTCTTTTTCCACTCTCAAAGAAGAAAGAAATTTACATGATTTAGGCCTATCGGGAAAAAGAGTAACTATCTATTGCATGTCTATTGTTAAAGAGGCATATTCCAGAATTGCGAAATTGAGAATTTAGAAGCATTCCAATGCGAAATGCGTTGCGATCTCTGTTTATTCGTAACTGCTTATTGTAGTTTAATGATTAGTTTTGTCTTAAGTTCTGTAAATCAAACCTGATTAACAATTTAGCTAGCAGCAAAAAATTAATTAAATAGGCCTGTCAGATAAATGTCTTATAAGCATATTTATAATAAGTGTATAAAGTTTTAATTAAGATAATGTATACCTAAATGAAACAAATTCAAAATTTAAAAAAATAAATAAATGTGTTTTAATTTAAACAACAGCAGTAACAGTAGGCCTATTATAACATTGCTATATATATATATTCATGTTCTTAATGCCGTTAATGTTCTCAAAATCATTTTCTGTATATACATTCTATAATTTTTCTATCTAAATTATTTTATTTAATTTAATAATGTGTAATATTATTTATATAATGACTTTAACACGATCTGTGGATCATAAAACTTTGATTTAAATAGGCCGATAACAATCGCATAAAAATACCCATTTATGAAATGAAATGCAGCATAAAATGGTCCTATACCGTTAATGTTCTCAAAATATTGGTGTATTTATATAGTTTAATATCATTTCCTGCATTGTATGTGATCGTTTACAAAGGGTGACTATTGAAGGTCAAACACCTGAGTGGCTCCCAGTTTTATCTGGAGTCCCATAGGGGTCTATCTTAGAGCCTTTATTTTTTATTATGTTTATTAATGATTTTTCCTTTGTTCCGTTTCATTCAAAATTTCTACTATTTGCTGACGATATTAAATTATTTAAGTCTGTTTATTCTATTAATGATATGTTGTTTTTACAGGAAGATCTAGATGCTCTTATTAATTGGTGTAATCAGTGGTCTATGTCTGCCAATGCCTCCAAATGTAAAACTACGTCTATTACTCTAAAGAAGAAACCCTGTCTCTTATACACATCTAGATGTGTATAAGAGACAGTTATTTTTATCATTATGAATATAGTACTGTTTAAATTCTTAAAGTACGAGTGCAATTTCCGACACTTTGAGGTCCATCTCAAAATTGGTGTAGATTCTCACGCACCCTCTTACTGCCAATTCCTGCATCCACCCCAGAATACATCAAGTAAGAGATTAACTTATTTTTGCAAAACTCAGTCTCAGGATTAAAAAATCGTCTAAAAACCAGCTAACTTGATGGCTCTGACGCAAATCAACTTGGAGGCTTTATGATTAATTATCCAAATTTAAATAATTAATTATTTTAGCATAATTTTAATTCAAAATAGCAACTTACTGGACAGCTTTATGCATAGGTTGGTTCACTGCTTCCGTGCCATAGATGAAAGCCGGTCTAAGATAAAAAAACAAGTACGCAAGCAACGGTCCTGTATACTCACACAAGAACACCTGAATAAGTATAACAAATGCACACAATTACTATTTATTTTATTATTACAGTATATATTTACTTTATTTCAATTTATTATTAAGGCACATTGTCAGTGGCAAAAATTTACAACTGTTTTGAAAACTCATAGGTGACAATCAAACACCTACACATTGTGCGACGACACGACGCTAGAACGGAATCACTCATGCATGACCGTCCTACCTGGCGTCTAAAACTCAATACTAA